GTAATGGCAAAACATCGTGTACAACTGTACATATTGTACAAAGTATGTATTTTTTCAAGATTAGAATGTTTTTTTTTTTGAAATTATAAATGTGTAAAAATTAAATAACTGTAACTGTAATTATAATGTACCGACAAATGTTTGTTAAATTCAAATTTATTGTTTGCCCACTTAGTCGGAGTTTGCACCACACGGAACTCCGTGTGGTGCAAACTCCGACTAAGTGAGCCGCCGTGTGGTGACAGATTGAGTTCAATCTGTCACCACACGGCACTAAAGCCATCTCCACACGGATCTTTATATGATCCAGACTCATTGTTCTAATTGTATATGTTCATAACATTGGCAAAGAAAACTCTCAGAAAATAAGTACTTAGGTTTATTCATCCACAGCCGTTAATAGTCCACTACTGAACATAGGCCTCTCCTTAGAAAGGAGGTCTTGGCCAACTTTACCACGATGGCCAGACGGGTTGGTATAGTATTTGTGTCAAGTTTTCCTTCTCTTGACAGTGCTGTTGTCCTGCGTAGTTTGTTCTCTTAGTCGGCTCTGAATAGGGTGAATAGGGGTGGTGACACTTCGTATTCTTAATCCATCACTACACTGACAGTCAAAGAATTCACAATAATTTCAAAATGCATGAAACCACAAATTTATTATCGTGGGAGAGCCACGCGTTGTTACAAATGGACTGAGCCCAGCTCAACCGGAGTGATACCACAGCTTAGAGTTCACACACACAGCCAGTGTTCAGCAATTCTTTCGTTTAATTTACCCGAGGTTACGGCATTCACTTACCATCAGGCTAGCCGTCTGGCCCGCTTAGCCCCCATATGCGTCTCGTTTAAAAAATAAAGACGAGATTTCTTGGGCCACATTCAAGAAAAAAAAATATTTTTTTGTCATAAATTCAAGTCTTTTTGTAATGTTTTATTTATATAATTTTACAGATGGAATCTCCATACATCGATATACGTCACTGCCAATTTCCTAACAAAATATTTGTGATTAAAAATAATATAAAATTATTATTTTTCACAGCTTTAAGGGACAGTGTGAAAAAACAAGGGTCGGTGGTGTCTCCTTGTGCTTCCATAAGTTACTTATACATTTTAAATAAACCATTTCAATTTCATATCGATTTTACTATATAAACTTTTACTAAACAACATAACGAATGATAATACCACGAGAGGGAATTGTGCCTAAACCTACGAATTTTGATAGAAGTTGATATAAGTTATATTGATAAGCGATCTCGAAGAGCAAATTGAGTTGGAGTTGGGCGTTCAAGCGCACGCCAGTTGAGTGAGGTGGCGGCAAAGCACTTCGCAAATATTGACTGTGAAACTTGTGAATTTTCTTGAGTCTTATATCAAGCTAGAACTCTCACATTAATGTCTTCGGAGAAAGTAAAAACTTTTAATAGACTAGCCTCTGGTCTCGCGGATTTACTCGCAAAACTAACTTAGCTTTTCTTGGGAAAGTCCTCAAACTTGAAAGCCTTTCGGGTAAAAAGTGTGAGTACAATGACAATAGTTTAGTTAGTTTTTACGTTCCTCTAAAGGAAAAAAAGGAACCTTTAAGAAAAAGATAGACAGACAATGAAGTGATCTTTGTTGCCTGTCTGTTTGTCAAGATTCGCAAAAATATATGGATGTTTAAATAATATTAAACATAAATTAATATCAAATATACATTGTTGTGGTCCCATGCAGCTGTAAACAAAACAAACTCTGGAGCCAATGCATTACAGCCGTGTAGGTATTTTAAAACTTCGCAGTTAAACAAAAATCTTTTGGTTACATCCCGTTGACTTTAAATTATGAAATTTAAAAAAATTCAAAGGCCCATCTATTATTGGCTCTTAAAAAAATCGATCACCAACTTGTACTTTGCGAGTGGAACTTGATTGGATTGAACTTTGAGCTACATCAATGTATGTAAGAGTATTTTATAATTTGGCAATTTATGTGCTTATGTGCTTATCCAAAGCTAGGATAAGGCATAACACATAATTTGCCTTATTTCAATTTTCCTTCTTACTTTCTCATGACTATCGCCAGCTAATAAGCCAGCTATAGAAAAACCAACCAACCAATTTTATTATTTTATAATAACATTGAGTGAATCTCAGAAAAAGGTAATGATAACATAAGGAGAGACTAGTATTTATGGGCCATATGGGCCGGTTCAACAGAAGTTATACCACGTCATCACAGAAAAACGGCGATAGGAAATTGACGGGTCTGTTGGTCAGGTGGTTTGTGACTGCTGAGCCCAAAGTCGTGGTTTCGGTTCCCACCCAGGAGAAATAATTGTGTGATGAGCACGATCATTTATTCTGTGTCTGGGTGTAATTTATCTATGATATGTATATATTTAGAAATATATGTTTATCAGCAGTCTGGTTACTATAGCAACAGGCTCTGCCTAGTTAGTAATCAGACAACCGTATGTAAGATGTGTGAAGTTACTATTATTAATTCTTTTGTTGCTCTAGATCGAGTGGGTGAGGTTACCAGAGCCCCAGCCCACCAACAATTCCCGGGGGTATTCAAAAGGTGCACCTGTAACTCTTTGAGTTAAAGATGTCAATGTGCGGCGGTAGTTACATACTATCAGGTATCGATTATCTAGGGCAGGGATCCCTAAACTACTTTGGGCAAGAAACCTCTATTCTAAAATGAACTGATACCTCAGGCCCCCAGCATGATGATACTTCCTACTAAAATATTAGTAATTCTTTGTTTCAAATGAGAACTTATATTAATTAATAGGGGTCGATTTTTAAACCTCGCAAACCCCCAAAAATTAGTTTTCCATCATGTCGATCCCAAGATTTTGACCCCAAGAGTCGATATTGACAACTTTGGAAATCCCTAATCTAGGGGATACCTACCATAAAAATAATTGGAACTGCAAAGTGAAATTGGTCTTAAAAAAAATCGCGAATCGCGAGATTATTTTTCTATTACGTATATGTCAGCGCTAAACACAGTCTTAAAATTATTTGTTTTAAAATTAATTGTTTGTCTAATGTGTCTTTTTACTATGACATCCTGTCTTGATTATTTCTACAACGGTTGTAGCAACTACAGTTTTCAATTTACAAATAAATTTTTATAATTACAAAGTAATTCTTAAATATAGCTCAACATTAAATATAAACCAAAATGAATTTAACCACTATTTCACTACAATTACCTTTAAGTCCGTGTGGTGACGGATTAAGAATACAAATTGTTACAACCCGAATTCGCCCGTGGGTGTCGTAAGATCTGACTAAGGGAGCAAACTAAGCAGGACAACAGCACTGCAAAGAGAAGGAAAACTTGAAACAAACCCTATACCAACCCGTCTGGCCAGCGTGATATAGTAGGCCAAAACCTCCCTTCTAAGGAGAGGCCAATGTCCAGCAGTGGACTAGTATAGGCTGTTGATGTTGATGACCTTTATTTTATATAAACAAAGAATATTTACGAGTGGGATTATAATAATTAAGAAAATTAAACCAAAAGTCGTTTTCAGTTTTTACTTTTATTAAAAAACTTTATACATAATTTGGATACTACACATACAAAAGAAATAATAATACAATGACTAGCAGCTACTTGCAGCTACTTGACTGTCGTCTATGACATGGTGATAATGGAATTTTATTGACGTTGATCAATTTATCTGTATTGACAGCATAATAAAAGTTTTCATGTTAGGTAATATAATTTCTTGTCAACAATTGTGAATTTATTGATACAATATATCTCAGGCCACAACAATTACATACATAATATAAGAAGAAAATGGTTAAACATATTATAAATCTGTTAGTGCAACAATGACTAAACATTTCTGGTTTTGATATGATGGTCACTAAAAAAATTAATACTGTGTTTCGGCTCTGAAAGAGTAGTTTTTTTGCTGTATACATGGGCACACAATATTTGTTTTAAAATCTTGTATTTGATACTTCATTAATGTCTTGTAATTGTACTTATCAAATAAATAAGTTTGTAAATAGTCTCCTGTTCTATAAAAAAATATTTATAGGTTAAGATCAACAAAAACCGCTTTATGTTTTAAATCTTTAATATTCTGAATAAGGTAAGTTATAATAAGTGGCAGATTTTGAGTTAATTATAGGTTTTTAGAAATATTACTAAACATTACTCTCACATTATGCTTTCATATGTATTCATATTATGTATTCGTATATTTCATATATTCGTATGTTAAACATAAACTGTCCTGAATTTATTATCTCACGATCAATTGGAGAAATTCTGTCTATTGTTGTTCTGACTTTTGGATTTGAATAAATAACAATTCATTTTTTTGTCTTAACAAATGCTTATTCTAACATGATATGATTTGTGAATACCTTTTTAATTTTTAATTTTACAGTCTACCCTACACGAGTACCTAAGGAAATTGTTTTGGCATACAAATACCACGCTTAGGTATGCTTCTATGTATGTATGGTGCATAATCCTAATTGACTAATGTTACGCAAAAGATTAACTTATTAGAAATGATTGTCTTGAAATTTGGCCAATCGGAAATCTAAATTGATAAATAGTTAATAGTTTAAAAATAAGATAATTACGAGAAATAGCTATGCTATTGAAACATGAATTGACTAAGTAATAAACTACATATTTTAGTCTAAATCTAAACAGATGAAAGTTACTTCTGAAATCATGCGCTACAGATAATTTTAAGAATAAAGTATTGAGTATTAATGAGGCTACATCGGTATTGAATTAAAGATTACAATAACGGCACTCGCCGCAAAAGTATCCAGTATGGTTTATTTATGTTTGAGATTATAATTAATTATAATACGTATGTTTCTAAACATAAGTCATACAGAAACAAACTACGTGCACCGTGCAATCACAATTTATAATGTGACCGTGATATTTAATTATAATTACGTTAGATCTTAAAGTGTTTCAGTCATTACCAGTTGTTTTTGTGGCAATTGATAAAATAATATTTAACCTAATATGCGAAATGGGTTGAATTTATTTCTATTTGGTGCTTGTTGTGGTCTTCGGGATCTAATTGGCCTGCGTACAGGTTCATTTGCCCCGGAAAGTAATGGGGAATTAAAATCATCTAATTTGTCTGATGAATTGTAATTCGTTCCATACTCTTCGTGAGAATCTTCGGTGATGTTAGTTACATCTTCAACGGTTGAGATAAATGGACTTACAGAAGTTTTTATTTCCGTAGCAATTACATAATCTGTTACATTAATGTTATTATTATCAATAATCGTATTATTAGTAGGTATTTCAGTTATCATAGCGATATTTGGTAAGATTGTTGGGTCGGCTTTGACTGTTTCCGAAGTATCGTTTTGAATGGTAAAAAAATTCGAATTGGAAATGGAGACATTCACAGTGGCTTCTGCCTCAAACGCATCATTTGTATAATTTTCGTTTTTGATAGTAGTAGTGATGATGCTCTTATCCTCATTTTTAATTACACCAATTATTGGATTTAATGAAGACACCTCTTGTAATGTAGTTGATTTTGTAGTAACTTCAAATACTATAGGAGCTACAGTAGTATGTGAGTGCTCCTCTGTGATTATAGTTATTTTCACAACTTCGTGATTTAGGGTTATATTTTGAACTGTTTCAATTTTTTCACTGGATGTCTCAAGTTTTGCTTCTTCGGTTGCTTCTATGTCAAGTAATTTAATTTCTGTGTCATTACTTGAGGTTATGTTTTTTACTACTTCTAATCGTGATATGTCACCGCTGTAATTATAAAATGCTTTTTCCTCATGGGTTTCCGGACGTTCTTTTAAGAAAACTGTGAGGTCTAATGAAGATTCTTCATCATCATCGGGTTTGCCTACTAAGGGCAAAGAAGTAACTTCTATGTGTTTGGTCACTGCCTCCGTTGTAGAAAAAATGGGCTCATTAATTTTGTCTAGCGTCATCGGTTTAAATTCAACTGTTTTCTGAATTTTCTTTTGATCATTTACCTTGTCACTGTATTTCTTTGGCATAATATTTTTTATTTTATCTTTTTTGAAATTATCCTTAGTTTTCAACCCTTCACTATTTGGTATTTTATCGATGGTTACACCTTTTGGCTCTTCTGTAGTTGATTTTAATGCCCTGTTTTCGTAAACTTGATCGTTTCGTTGATACTGTAAATGTTGTTTAGGTAAATGTTGTTCAGCCAATTGCTGAGCATGTTTTTCTTGTAAAGATAGAACAGTCATATCATCACTGATTTTAGCTTTAGCCATTACTAGGGGCGGAACAAAGTGATCAGTTGGTTGTGTAAATATATTTTCTAGATTACCAAGGCGAGCAATTTCTTCATGTAACATCTTATGTTGCATATGTTTTTCATCTTCGAGTTTATCTTTTTGTTCATTAGATAAATAATTTTCTTCGTTAGCAATTTTTGGTATAAAATTACTTTGCAAGTTGTTATTATGAACTAAAGGCAAGTCAAGATTTTTATCCAAAACATTATGAATCCTATTGAATTTATTGATGTTAATACTTTTTGATGGCATTTTGTAGTCAGTTAAGCCATTTACGTTTTGAGTCGGGGCAATTATAGTACTAGTTTGATTAATATCATCTTCATGTTCAGTTGTACCATTTTCTTCTGTACTTGTTTCAGTTGTAATTTCTTGTTCCGTAAATATGGCATCGGATGTTGTAGGCCATGGGTTACCAGATGAATTAATGCTTACGGTAGTAGTTACTTCTTCTTCGTCAGTACATGAAAGATCTCTTAGTAAATCTTCTCGTTTCTGTGAAAGGTTGTAAAGGTTTTTTAAATTAAATTATTTTTATAGATTAAGAGATATAACGCAAAGATTTTTCGCTTACCACATTTCCTGTGCATTGCACTCGTTTTACACCAGCCAATCCGCAGTCGGCTGTCAGTTGTACAGCAGCGCTTTCCGGTAAGTAGAGAATAGTTAGAGCTGGTAGAGCACGGACCATACATCCTTCATTTCCTAAAGCCCACTGAGGTACTGTGAACAAATGTTAATATTAACATATTAACACATATATTTAATATCATTAAACCATAGTTAGATCCTAAGTTATTATGAAATAACTTAGTAGCGAGAACTAAACTAACATGTTTTACCTCGAGTCTTTATTTATTATGAGATTTAGGCTTACCTACTCAATCCTGTGGACTTACAGCAATTTATTAGTATAGAGATTTTAGTGCGAGTTAAGAATTTAGATTGCCACGTATGGATTACTTAGACCAAACATTTCAAGCTTTACAATATTACTTAAAAACACTGCCAATTTTAATCTGTCAATTTATTCTACCAGATAGTTGAAAGCTTTTTTAAAAATGACTATTGCTTAAATAGATAACATTGTGATCGGTCGCAATAACAGGACAAAGTAAGAGCCTAGCCACCATCAACAAAATACCTGTCTGTTTTATGAACATGAACAGCCTTTAATAGTCCACTGCTGGACATAGGCTTCTCCTTAGAAAGGAGGTTTTGGCCTACTATACCACGCTGGCCAGACGGGTTGGTATAGGGTTTGTGTCAAGTTTTCCTTCTCTCTGCAGTGGTGTTGTCCTGCGTAGTTTGCTCCCTTAGTCGCCTCTTACGACACCCACGGGATGAATAGGGGTGGTGACAGTCTGTATTCTTAATCCGTCACCACACCACGTTTTATTGTTAGGATTTATTATATCTATGAGCGTGAGGAAATAAAGTAATAGGCAATTAAATACCACTCAAATAAATGAAAGACTAATGGAAGTTATGTCACTATTCAAGATTTATATTTATTTCAAATAAGTAGAGTACAGAAATGTCTTTTTCACACAGTGTGTCACATAGCTGTTCATTAATTACATAAGGGTCCTGACAAGGAGGGTTTTAAAAGGCTAAACTTGACCTTATTTCATGGGAGAGAAACAAAAGCTATTCTTGTGTAATACTAGCTGTACCCTGTCACGCTTTGCTGTGGCACATTATGGTTGCATTGATGAGAAAGAAAGAATAAAAGTGACTCGAAAAAGAGATTAAAAGCATCTTTGAATCAAGTTGTTTATGGTGTTAAAATTTTAGCTCAATCGGTGCAGAACTTTTTGAGTTTTTGGAGCGTACACAAACCAACTTATCGTTTATATATATATATTCTACAAGAGAATGTGGTGCACTCATTACAGAACAGATATAGGGGTTTTTCAAAACTTTTGTTTAGCATAGGAATGAATTCTGGTTTTAAATGTTCAATGTAAAGTATTCACTTAAGTTTATAACTGAATAAAATAGTATCGTTTTTCAAATAATAATCTGTTGACTGTATTAATTTTTTTGGTGACGCAGTTTAGATAAAATACTAAATTTAAAAGAAAATTACATTTAAAAAATAAAATATTGGATTAGGTATGCCTGGTCCTATCTATTTGATCCATTTCTAATGAAATTTAACAATTTAGGAGAACTAGATTAAATCTAACATAAAAAAGAGGAGAAATCTTAATTGTCCTTGTATGTATGAGGCTGAGGCGGGTCAAGGAATTTCCATAATATTTCTTCCCTAACCTGGTTTAGTGTGTATCTAAGATCTACGGGTAAATAGCTTTATAAAACACTTACCAGGCAGTTCACAAATGAAAGATGCGACAGTTGGTCCACCACAAGCCAGTGCTTCCCACCGATAGTCTGCTGCTGGGTCGGCAGCTGCGCAGAGTGGAGCTGCGTGGGTATCCGGTGCTGAACTCCAATAACCTTCACCGCTCAGGCCGCGGTAGTCACTGAGATAATATTTTTTAGGTGAATATCTATAATCATATAAGATTTTATCCCACCAAAAACATTTTCATGTAAAATGTTGCCAAGACGAGACCATATGGCTCGCACTATCAAAAAGTTATCTCATCTAATGTAGAGCCAAACTTCTAACTCTAGACGCCCTAACTCTAACCCTATCTCTACAACTCCTAACTTCATAAACTTAGTTAAAATATGTTGCTCATCTTGCCCGTAGATTTTATAACCGGTGAGACAAGTAATTTTTTTTCTTTTGATGGTCACGTTATAACTTGAGCTATCACTATAGATGATACATCAACCTCCACCCGATAGTAGCTACTACTAATATATCTATAACCGTCAAGATTAAAAATTTTTTTGCGTTTTTGTAAATGCCCGAATGAGATATTTTCTTAATTTGAATCTCCTTATTAAGACATTTAAAATGAAAAAAAAAAAACTTGAAAAACATGTGTGACAATCAGAATATACCACCGGACGCAAACGACTTTATATAATCTGCAATACCCACATGTTAATCTATTAGTACTTAGTAATATAAAATAGTAGTAAGTATTATTTAAATTGAAAAGGCATATTTTGTCTTCATATCGGCATTATTTAATGCAGCATCTTCATTACATACTCACGTACAAAAAAATAGTTGGTAGCTTTTCATAATAGAAATATTAAACTTACGTCCAAGTAAAGTCTCCATCAGGATTACTTCGGATGAGACCGACCCACACGGCGCTCGAAATATCAAGCTCTTTGAGGTACGCTCTTACAGCATCGTATTGCGCCGTTGTATCCACTGTAACAATGGAAACAATAATGGTATTTAAAAAATAAATCTAAATGCACGAATACCTATTCGTACAAATTAATAAAATCAAATGTTTCTTTGAAGGGCCTGTTGATTTTGTGATTAGTGCTTCTGGCTACTGTACGTTCGTTGGCTTAAATCCCACCTAAGTAATTGTGTGATGAGCACGATATTTTTTTAGACTCTAGGTGTAATATATTTATAGTAATTATGTATATATTTAGAAGTATATAAATATAATTATCAGCAGTCTGGCTGCCATAGTACAGGTTCTGACTACTTCTGGAATAAGACCGTCGAGTTTAAGATGTGTGAAGTTACTATCATTATCCATATTTAGTGTTAATAACTTATCTATACAATAGTTTCGTTCATGTATTTTTATTTTTTAGGGTTTCGTGCTTCAAGGATGTATGAATCGTTCATTTGAATAGATATATTCTGATACTAACAAGTCCTACGTACATGTTTCTAGTACTTTTTAAGTTTTTAAATTATTGAAAAAGTTTTTTATTATTATTATATTTATTAGCAATTTGTTTTAATTTGTAAATCAGTATTTTACTGCCAGAAAAAAACCCAACTAGTATTTATCTGAGATACGAGGAGATAGGACCACAACGTTTTATGGTCTATTGCTCTATTCTTAAAATAGACATCAAAATCTTTTCAATCTGCTTATCGTTTAACAGTAAGTATTCAAATTTAAATAGTAAATGTAAAAGAAACTTTTAAACATACAACAAATCAGGATCCTTAGAAAGTAGCGACACATTTAGATAAAAGTAACAACCTCTTTTGCCGAGATTAAACGTAAAGATTGCATTTTAAGTCTTACATGTTTTAGAATTAAACTAATTTCGCAAAGCATATCGTTAAATTTGTACATTCGAATACCATATGCGTAAGAGTGCGTAAGAGCTCCGTTTGCGTAAACTTTATTTGTCTAGGTGAGAACCACATTCACGGGGGGGGTCGTCTACTCGTCTGTAGATGACCCGAGGTATGTCGGGGTACCAGGGACTTCCTTTCTAGGGTATACCTGGTTCCCCGGCTATTAGTACCCGAGACGGCGTGCGGTTTTGGTCGGTTCGAGTCCGACATGCCACCGACGGGTGGTATCCGAGGGGATTTCCGCACGGAAAAAAAAAAAAAAAATGGTGAGAACCACATTGATAGCTATTGCATCAATGATGCTACTGCATTGATAGCATTGATAGATATTGACTATATGAAATAGAATTCTGTTCACTGAATAATATTTGGCCAGCTGCAATGTACATATTTTACATTTTAGCTCCTGGTTTTTTGTCTAACTTTAATTCAAATATTAAGTAGTAGTATTTATATATAAATAAGTAAATAGCATACCTTACATAATATAATGATCTTCTCATGGGTTTTGTTTGTTAAAAATTCATTTAAATACTCGAATACTCGAAGAATGGTTGGTCTTCTTCACAAATTTAGCACTCTATTTTGCCATCTTCAAAATTTATTTTCTTGATCAAATGTTTTATATCTACCTTGTACTCGTAATATGAACTCAAATCATGTCAATTTTCATTTGTATTCATGCAATAGTTACAGCGTGATGCGCGTCTAATATACAGATAGAAAGACGTAAACATGAAAAAAAAAATGTGTTTTGTTGGTAGGCTTTATTATAGACTGCTCTGCATAAATTAATAATAAAATACCTTCGATATCTATACTTGGGCCATTTACACTTTTACAAGTGTATGTTATTTTGGTACCGAAAGGTTTTAAATCCTACCAGGCACAGGTTGCACGCACGTTCAGCAGATTTATTTTAAGTGCCGTGTTTTAATAATTATGGTCAAGTTATGAAAGTTAACAACTGTGTCATGCATCATACCTTTGTGAAGAAGCTAGCAAAGTTGAACAACTTGTAACCTCAGCTTGAAACCTGTTTCTTTACACAACAAAGCTAAGGTTACAAGTACGAAGAAATTTATCAGAGTAGCTATCTACTCTAAGAAATCTTCTTCTTTGTGTATATCTTGAGAACTTAAGCTACTGAATTAAGTATGTTTCTTTTGTATAAACTAATTATAACGACAAACGAATTTTGTTTTGAAACTAGCTAAACAAAAACATCTACAATTACATATTACAACAACTACAACAAAACACACTGATATTAAGTGTGTACAGTACACGGTACAAAGCGTTGCCAGTATTTTAGCTAGAATATATTCCTTTGTAGAACATTTCATTTTCATATTTACCTGGAAAAAAATTGGAATAGCCATAATTGCATTTCTAAGGAGAGGCCTATGTCCAGCAGTGGACTATTAAAGGCTGTTGATGTGTGTGTGATGCATTTCAGGTTTTCGACTCGGAAAGGGAGCTACATGAATAACACGTTCATTAATAATGATTAGTTTAAACGGTACCAAAAATTCATGTCTATAAGGTAGAGGTAGACGAAACTGAGAGGCGTCACAGTTTATTAGACACGTTTCATATAAAACAGAAACTGACTTAACCTTTCATGAAATGTTCAGTGGCTTGTGACCGCCTTGGCGAGGCATGCGTGCACTCAGCTACGACATCTGTTTACGTAATAAGATTACTCAGTTAGAGTACACATAAAAGGTATTTGATAAACTAAGGATCTCTATGCGCAAAATGAAATAATAAGCTAAATAGTTCTTTGTATTCCGATCACGAGTAAAGATAGGTTTAAATATAGAGTATTTTCATAAATAATATTTTAAGTTGAATTCAAATAAAAGATGTTATTGTAATAATATATCTCCAAAATATAATATTTGCAATAATCTAAATATAACTGCGTATTAATCTTAGTTACACCCTCAGTCCTTGAGTAATATTAGATTAATTATTACTACATAAGAAAACCTTTTTCGTAACTTCTTCTAGAGATAGTGTTGCTACCGATGAAAGTTATACTCGTATTATACTCGTTTTTTAAAATGCATTCTTCACTTTAGGCTAAATGCTATCTCTTATGCTACTCATGTAGGCAATCTGTTCGCCTTCAGATGTTTCGTGAGCACTTAGGGTACTTTATTTGGTATGAACCAGAAAATGTTGTCTCTCCTTCCCTCCTCCCTCCTCTGTGAATGTATCACAACCACTTAGAGAGAGCTAGTTAACAACCTTCAGTTTTAAAATAAAGATTTTCTTCAAATAGCAATAAATGAATGTTATTTTCCTCAAAAACGTTTTTAATGTCCGATTTGGTGTCCAGAATAACATTTATTACCTATCTTCTCTGTTAGATTAATGGCCTAACATGGTTCGATTGAAAGAAAATTGTTAGAAATTCCCACACAATTTCTGGTACAACAATGTAAGGAAACATTTTCTAGTCAGCAAATGGAAAAATGTAATTCATGTCCACGCTATGCTCACGTACTGCAGGTATGATTCGATTATACCGTTTGTGACGCTCTGTTTTCTCTACTCTTTTTTTTGTTTACGTCACGTAGTTTATGAAACGAGCTCGGAGTTTTCTCATATCCAGTAATCGTATCAAACCATCTTCAGTAGCACAAAGGGCAACTTTTATTAACAAATGTAAGGGAAACAAAGAAAAACTCCATTCATGTGTATATGAAATACGGTTGGCATCAAGATAAAACTCTTATTTGCTTTTAGGTTTACAGATTAGGTAACTAACTAATGCGGATAAGAATTGAAACAATATTCTTAGTATGTACGAATGGCAAGTCATATAAAGTGAACTAGTGGTTTAAAATCATAAATAATGATGATTACATCTATATAGGTTATAAACATTTGCAAAATTGGCGGTGTAATTTATATATCGACTACTGACCCAGATCGCAGAGATCTCACATTTTTAAATGTAGAAATTAGCTTTAAACTGTCTTGTTCTCCTGCAATGCCATTCTATATTTTTTTTTGAACTTATAGTATAAATAGTTAATTAATATGTCGGTCTACATTCAGGGTTCTTGCAATCAATCTGCAACTGACAAGGCTGCCAATTAAGTGCTGACCTAATACGTACGATATCTGAACACCGAACCCTCAACACGTTGAGTGCTCTGTCAGTCTTTGCTGCGGATAAAAGGTTAATCATTCTAGGATATATCGAGTGAATTTCTGTAATTTGTAAGCAGATAGTAAAATCATAATAGTTCTAAAGTTACATTTAGAAACGTTGATTATATTTATCAATTAATGTGATGAAAGAAGAATAAAAATATATAAAAATGAAATCCAAGCCAACTTTAGGATTGAGATTCTATTAGTCGTATATTAGGGCTGTAGGGCGTATGAATAATATCAGAGAATATTTATAGGAATAGATAGGTCTATCAAAAACAGTGAATCAGAATCTCATTGTCACCAGATCGCAGAAACATCTAGTCTTTGCTGTTTTTTTTTTTAACATTATTAATGAAGGATCCAACGTCTCATTGTCGATTTTGAATTTTCTTTAGTCGTTCTGGTACCAGAGTTAATTTTGTTTCTTGTTTGTTTTCTTTTTACTTCACAAGTTAACAAATAAACATTAAAAATATTAAAATTATTTCTAGTACAAATCTCTCTAAGAGGGTTGTACAGAAGAAATTCTGCTAGAAATTAAGCAACTTGGCTGTTTAAAATATTGCGACTACGATTTAACGGTGTTGTTTGCCTGTAGTTATTGTCAAAACTTAAGGGCTGACTTAAGCTCATTGACAAAGCGCAAATGACACTACTATTAGTGGCTCAATTTGATGATTATCAGGTACTACCTCTATACTTACTTAATATCTCAAAATATATATATATACGTCTTATGAGATGACTCGAAGAATGTGAAGTTTTCCGTGCGGTAATCGCTAACTTTTTACTATCTACTCTAATTCCTCCTATGTGCCTTAATTCATTTGGTATAAACATGATTCCAAAAAGAATCACTGCGTTATCACATAATTATGATTTTAAAGAAATTCAAACAACGTTAATTACATATAGATATT